CTGGTGGTTATATTTTGAAATAGTTCGTTGATTTTTGAGTTTAAAAGAATGCAAGCCTTACTGTAATGCAATCCCTACTTGGAGGGAAATAATGAATATTTTTATTTAATTACACATTGAAAAAATTTTAGAACCAGCTGCCTATCTGCAGAGAGGGCATGTCAGTCTTTTACATCTACAGCTGGAAAAAAAAATAAGGCAAAGACCATAAAGTGACAAGTCTCCATCCAAAACATAGTGGACACTTGACAGATACAAGCCTATTCTCCTTTTTCAGTTAAGAAAAAAAAAAACAGGAAATCTCAATTTGTGATTTGAGATAGAGAGAGAGAGAGAAAATGAGGAGAGAGAGGGTGGAGGTGGGAAAATAGTTTTTTGGATTCTTTATTTTCAAACCATCTTTCTTACATACGAGTAGCTACTTCCCTTTCTGCACCTAAATTTTGAATTGATTTTTCTTTATTATTTTGTGTATTTCAGTGTCTTGCATTTAGGCAACATGAATAAACCATTCCTGGCTGGAAAGAAAAAAAAAAAATGGCAAAGAAAGCCAGAGGACCGTGAGGAGAAAAAACATGTAGGCTGGTTAGTACACAAAATGCATGCCACTGAGTTCCTCATGATCTCAATACAAATTTGACTCTGAACTTACTAAAAGGCCAAAGTAAAGAGAAGAGCAGGCTGGGTTATGAGACTCACTGTGTCCATAATTAAAAACTAAGCAGTTGCTCAGGAAAAACGTAATTATTCTTAACATTAAGGCGTTAAATCCATGAATCCTTCTCTAGAGGATGCTTTTGTAATAGAACACATGTCCACAATGCACTTAGAGCAGACAGAGCTTCACAGAGTTCTATTTTTTCTTCTTCTCTCCCTCTCCTTTTTAAAATAACATCCCTGAGCTAGTTAGATCTTTTTCTTTTCCTTTTTTTTGGACAGATTCCTTGCCTTTCCCTTGTTCTAGGGATCTGAACTCCTCAGGATGACTTTTCCTAGGCTCTGAGCCATCAGCCTTTCTGCTGAGTTCAGCCAATGGCACAAACTGGTAGGACAGGGCAGGAGGAAGAGAGAAGTCCTGATACTTCTCACTTTCTGTCTTCAGTGGTGTCTTTGGTTGAAGTTACATCGCCACCCCCACCCCTGCATTTGCATGTGCAGAAAGTACCAGATTTCTCCAAGTTACCCCAAATCCCTTCATCCCTCCAGTCTCAATGGTTTAGTAATGGCTTTATTTTGTTGTTAATATCTTGGCTGCCTCAGTGTCCCCTGACTGACTTCCTAGTTTTTCATCACTGATGGAATTAATTTCCCTACTTTAAATGCCCCTCTGCTTTAAATATTCAGGAAGTTTTCTGTTGCAGTGGGATCCTGACTGGTACAATCAGTCATTATAAGACAATGCTGTATCTTTCAGTCAATTCAATATGAACCACTTTACATTAAGAAATAGCAGGGAAAGTGTTACTGCCTGCATATTGCATATCTAAAGACACCTATGCAACAGTAAATGACAGACATTAAAGTGTGTAGGAAACAAATTCCTATGAATCATTCAGATGTGATATTCAGGAAGAGAATTATGATTCGCCAACATCAATACATATGGTATTTTAGCACACAGATTACGGATACATCTTCAGTGGGCACACTCCCTAGAAAATCCCTAGTAATGCACACATGCCAAGATCTTGACAGTAATAAGTCACTGTAACCCAGAAAGAATATACTTATGACCTAGTATCCTTCTCTCATCTACCTACAGGCAACACCTATGATTCACCCAGGACTGTTTTTCATTGGCAAATATGGAAAATATAGGTGGAGGCTAATACCTAACCCTCCTCTTCCAGTTCCTCACTTCACTAAATATGTAAGCTAGGGAATCCTTTACAATTCAGCACACATGCTGATAATGTAACAAGCACCACAATTTAAATTACCCACTAGTTACATAACATCAGTGGAGCTTTTCCCAGGAATTCAGAATTAAGGCCCAATAAAGAATATTTTATTCTCATTTCACTTAAAAATAACACGTTCTGGCTAGAGAGGTCATATGCAAACTTATGCATATGAGGAGAGAGGTGGCCTTTTAGAATTGCCTGCTATATGGAACCCAATGTGTTTCATTGGGAAGCTCACTGATGCAAGGGATCAAATCCTACCAGTGCTTATCTTAGCTCTTGACCATAAGAGATAGTTACTTCAGTCCATAAAGCAGGTTTATTTTACTCTGATGTCATTAAAATTTTCAATCATATGGCTAATGCCCTAGTTTTTATTACACACATATTCAGCAATCTTTGCATCCCAATCTGACCTTCCTGGACTTTCCCAAGAGGGAGAAAATTCACTGGCTTTTAATTTCCACATTAGTTATGGTTCTCATTATTAATTATTAAAACAATACCATAAATTTGTATTGCAGTATCATAAATCTGAAAATGTGTACCCCTCTCCGTAGGGTGGGCTGGTAGTTATGTTTCTCAGCTTGCAAGACTAACCTTAAACTATAGCAAAACCCCTAGTTTGCTACTCTTTGTGCCACATCTTTTCCAGGAGATGCATCCCACCAACATCCACTCCTGCCACACTTACCTGAAAGACTTCTTAATATCTTCTGCTTGGATGGTCTTGAGAATCTCTTGGTATAACTGAAGATCAAGTTTTCCTGAAGATGTAGCATTTGAAGGGCATTTTTTGTGTGCATAATAGCCTATCAAAATTCCAAAAATAAATAAAATGATTGCTGTGCAAAATATTTTTAAAAGGCGGCAAAAGTTGCAGGGTTTGCTCTTTGGTGCAGATCTTGTATAATGGGTTACATAGTCAGACTCTTCTTGAAGTCGCTGAAACCTTCCTTTGGGTGAAGCTGCTGGTTGAATGGAATCAAGATTGAGGTCCGCTGTCTCGGAATTCTCCAGGTTCTGATTCTCAGCACGATCAAGCTGGAACTGCTCAAAACCAGGCTCCTCCAGTTCCTTCTCCATGTCCCACTCTAAGTCAAGGGCAGTGGCTTGAAGGTCATCACTGTCTAAGTACTGTGAATGTCCTGGAGCTCTTTGATCTGCATTGACCTTCTGATAGGCCATCTTCTTACCTGTGAAAATAAGAGAAGTGTATTTTCTGAAAATAAGCCAACACTAAAGAAAACCTCCAAGGCGAATACAAAACAGTAATCTCTATTAGGTGTCCATAAAATTTTAGTGATTATAATCAGGGGGATGTACTGCCCTGCAGAACATCACATTAATTATTTAATCTCTGTGTTGCTGTTGATGTTTACCGTAAGGGGAAAAAAAGACAATAAGTAAAAAGTTTTTGAGACAAAAACTGTAAGAGAACATAAAATACACACACATTATGCCTTTGAGACACGGAAGAAACAGAATCACAATTGCACAACTGTATTGAAGATAGTGTATTACAATGAAGGCAAAATTTAAGCCTATACATTTTCAAAATCACGTTTAAGAAAAACTAAGGACAGAAGCAATAAAGCTGTGATTTGTAAGTTAAGGGGGAAAAAAGACCTTTGGATGAGTTACATTACCAGAATTAATTTTTAAAACACAAATTCAAATTCAGGTTAGAATAAGAATATCTGAATGAAGAAGCAACTCCCTACACATACAAGCAGAAAATATGGTATATTACCTAGTGATGAGTTATCAAAATGACTGGAAAACTTAAAGGCTGCCACAAAAGGCCAACATGTTCCATTGAATTAGTGACATGAACTGGCCCGGCCCACTGAACTTTAAATAAACGTCTGGAATGGCTTTCATCCAAAGAGGGAAGCCTTTTGCCAAGCTAGGAGAGTTCAGTTTCACAACCTTGCTACAGAGTGGCAGATGGAGGGTTTTCTCCCCTACACAGTTTTGGATGACAGTTTGTTGCATCCTGCAGAGTGGTATTAGGATAACTGGGTTAATTAACTACAAGTGGTCTTCAGTCTGTATTCAGTAACACACTGGTGTATTATGGTTGATGATTAAGAGTATTTACACTTAAATTTTCTGTATATTAGATTTGTCATCCCAGCTGGATTCTAAGGTCCCTCACCATGTTCTATGATTTTTCTGTATGTTTCACTGTGGTGGGTGAAAAAAACAGAGCTCTACTGACAACTGATTAGCTAAGTGCCTTAGGGCCACTTGTTAACAAGTGAACTCTAATGAAAAAGATACAAAGACTGCATGAAAGGGAGTGGCATTATGCAGAGAATTATGCCTATATACAGTTCTAATCCTGGCTGGCAGCAGCCCCCACAAATTAAAATGTTCTGAATGTTTAAGAGAGTTCAAGTATAATGAAGTATTAAAGTTGACAAAGTAAAAAGTATGATTCTGACTAGATTTCTCATATGCTACCTTGTATTCTAGGATTTATTCTTGCCCAGAGCTGAGTCAATGATAGTGAGTATCTAATACATGTCAGTTAGTTGGATAGGCAATGAACACAAAGATGAATGGGTCCCTATTCCTAGAGGAGGGAATGATACAATCACACACACACACACACACACCCCTATCTATATACATACATAAACAAGTCAGTCACATAAAGTATACAAGGCACAGTGTTGATAGATTCTAGCAGAGAATACAGGAAACGATTCCCCCTAGATGTGATCTCTGAGGTCCTTTTGGCAAGAGGAGGAGGAGTTAAACTACGGCAGACCAGGGGTGTGAGAGGAGAGAAGCCAGGCAGAGGACAATTTACAAACATGCAGAGGAATGAAGATGCGTGGTGCATCGTACGCGGACTATCTGAAAAACCCAGATTGGTATATTGTGACGGAAGATGGAGCACAGGAGCCAAAGACTCAGAGAAAATGCTTGGAAAGGGTGACCTGGGGCCAAAGGCTTAACTTTCCTGTAACTCAGGGTCTTCACATGTGAAACGGGCATGATAATATAAAACCTCATAGCACTGTCAATAGGATTAATTGAGACAGTGAACCTAAAACAGCCACTGAGTGTGACATAGGCTATACGGGTTTGAAGACACATTTCTGGTGTTAAAGGAGGAAGGATTGTCAAGGGTTTTTAGAAGAAATGAAAGGAGTTAAACAATGTAGAAGAAACTATATAATTCTGCAGGACATTGTGGAGAAGTGGAGGAGGTTGCATAAAACACATACATGCGTATATTCACCCATATATATGAGAGTTGAGTTCTTTTTTAACATTTAGTCTATAGGTAGAGACTAAAATATTAAAAAAAAAAACACATGACATACCAACTGTTACCATGCAGATGTTTAGTTGGTACTACGTATCAGAACAGCCTCAAGGGTGATTCTGCAGACCTTTTTTTATCCCCCTCCCTCTTTTCTGCCCTGTTTCCTTCCTTCTTCCTTTTTTCTGCTTGGCCTGGTTTCCAAGATGATTCAAGAAAGTGCAGCATTTGAATGGTCTTTAGTCACATCGAGACAAGTAGAGAAAGGGAGTGATATATGGAGTTAGTGGTAATTATTCAGATAGGTTAGGAGATGGTTGGTTAACTGATGGAAGATGACTTTAAATCACACTTGGTTAAAAAAGATGACAATATTAGAGAATAGGAAAACCTGAAGGTAGCAGAAATAAAGTATCTTTATAATCCACGATTCTAACCTTTCATATATTACAGAAGAGGAAGATGAGGTCCAAAGGTGAATAAATCTTCAGACAGAGAAAAGTGATATTTTGGTACACACTTCTTAAGGTGATTTACGGTTTTATAAAAATGTAAGATTAATAAGTTAGTGGTAACCTAATGTTAAATACCTTACAATTCAATTTTTTAATATACATTACAAAATACTGCAATTTCTTAACACTCATCAGTATTTTTGTCTTGAAATATCAAAAAAATTTCCTGCAATCATGACATGACATTATGATATTCACTTCTTTCACTGTTCTGTTCATGCATTATTAATTTACTTAGATACTGTCTCAATGTAGTTTTCTAGATTTTTCCCCCTCCCACTTTAATGAATCAGAGTCTTTCTAGAGGCTTTTTAAAGAATTGAGTTGTAGAGCCTGGTTTATGCCCGAGGAAGATTTGGCACACCGGAATGACTACAGAAAGGTGAGATCCCTAATTCTGACTTCTAATACAAACATTCAAAGTCATTTCTCTACAAATCATTTAAAAAGCAACTGCAGTGATGAGACAGAGTTTTCATTTCTAACCTGACAATAGGTATTCCATCACATGTACATCAGCAATTTAACGCTTTTCAAACATCAGACAGAGCCATCAATTAGAATGTAATGCAGATACAGATATTAACTCCTCACCATGATGGATATCTTCCTGACACCCTTACTACCACTTTTGGACTCATTACACATTTATAAATTTACACTAAATTCTATCTTCCGGGAGAGGAGTATCTGGGTAAAAGGTAGATCGAGCCATCTGATGTAACAAAATGCAAAGTATTTTAAGGAAAATTTCCAAGGAAGTAAGTACGTGACAACACGTACAATGAAACATTTTAACCTCTTACTTGGTATAGTCAGTTTATGTTTATTATAAATCCATCAGAAATCCATTTCTTTTAAAATTTATCTTGCCTTAAAGAAAAGAACTTAGCTTTTACAAAAATATAAACCTCTGCACTGACAGTTTTCTCTTCATCTGTTTAAAATGAACTACTTAAAAGTTAAACTAAGTAATAAACTACTAAATAAAACTAACTACACATTCAATTTGGAGTTAGCACAAATTATTTAATTTGTCCCACAAAGAATGTATCTCTCTTTAAAAACCTGTGTCCCCTGAGGTCAAGTAAAGGACATTTCACATTTTTTTCACCAGAACTTTAAAATTCCCAAGTACAATGAAGACTATATTATAAAAAGAAATCTTCAGGAAAATCAGCATGTCTTAGATATGATTGTTTAATTATGCCAAACATTATATATTTTCTATAACATATATACATGATATTTATTTTATATTGTCTTATTACTTTTCACCTCCCCTAGATGAGTATATTAAAAAACACATGAACTAGATTTTAGAATCTACCACATCGATCTTCCTCTAAAAGATATGCACTTTGGTGTAGACCAGCTCATAGAAACTGTTACATTTCTTCAAACAGAAACATCTGTAACCATCCTTACATTCTATATTGTATCACTTAGCCTTTTTTTTTAATAAAATGCAATTTTTCTGCAAAGTACAATATATTCTCCATGTTTTCAACATATCTTATTCACTTAGGTGAGATCCCTTTCCACCCAGGCCCACAAAGGCTAAATTGTTTTCAAAACTCAATATACTAGAACATTTATCTTTTATATACACTTATTCCGCCATAAGGGAAAGAAAGCAAATATAAGTTGAACTGAAAGGTGTTTTTCCTAGACTATGACAAGCTTAGATCAATAAAAAAATAAATTTTTAGTCTTACTATACATATGATTAGTTTAAAAATTGATATTTCTGAATGCTTTCTTTCATACATTTTTACTGGCTGAAACTAAGTAAATTATATAGAAATAAAAGATGAATACAGAAATAGGCTGAAATTTCAACATATAAAATACAGTCTCTGGCTGCTACAGAGTCAGCTTAACACAACACCTGGCAAGTATTTTAGATGATAAATACATGATAAAAAAGGTTTCCTTCTAATAAGTTATCTATTATGAATGCTGTTTAGAAATATGATCACAGCACTATTACTTTCTTGTTCAGCAACTGCAATGAGGGAATTTACTACATGAATGCCCTGACCTTATCAGTCTCCAAATCAGCAGACTCTATAGTCAAACTACTGGGTTCACATCATAGCTCTGCTATGTAATTTAGACCAGTAGCTTAATATCGTTACACTTAAATTCCACACTCGTAAAATGGAAAAAATAATAGCACCGTATCTGTAGCATTTCTATGAGTAAATGATGTAAGTGACTAAAGATGCTTAGGAACAAGGTCTAACATATTGTAAGTGATCTGTTAACAAAGATCACTCTAGAAATTCTATAGAGTTTAAGAAATTAGAAGTATTTGTTGCTTACAACTTTAGAGTACAGACTTAATTAAATTAAATTATGACCAGAGGGCTTAAGTTTCAATAACAAGAACCTGCAG